ATCTTTACCATAATAAGCTAAGCTAACTTACTACTCTAATTTATTTCTTCAATATTAATATGTACAATTATCTATAAGTCAAGTTCATGTGATAATATTTAATGGTTGTCCCTAAAGGATACTTTTAAATAAACGTTATCCTGCAATTACAAAAAAAAAAACTTTGGAGTTCATTCCAGTAAATTCCTTCTTTTCTATAAAGTCTTTATTAGACCTAGGTTTGAGTATGCCTATATATCATCAATTCCCCAAATTTTCCCCATTTTCCTATTAAATAAACTCCAGTTGAAATTATTTTTCATCTCGCTGCTGAACTCCCACCCATTTACAGAATTGAATTTACCACAGCTAAAGAGTTAGCCAAATCCTTCGCGTACAGAGTTCCAACTGCTTCACTCTTACCTCTTTCATACTCATAAACTAACACAAGTTTTAGTAGAATCTATACTAAATAAAAAAACATTTTTAATCATATTGCTCTTATCAACCCTATTTTTACTTTCCATTAAAAATGGTCTTTAGACACGATTTTTTTTAAAGGTATCTCCGTTTTCAAAAATCAAGCTAATGAAGTCATTATTTTTACTTTACCTTATGAAAAATTGAACATGGATGAATTAAATGAACATGGAAATTTTCTACACGAACGGTTTGGTTTCAAATACAGTTGATAGTTTCTATACTAACAAAAAGCTGTCGTCTATGACCACTAAAGCTTTGGAAAGACCAATTGATTTTGCGATTTCCAACTGCTCTTCAAAGATAAACATGTTGACGGATAGCCTTGGCGCTATTCAAACGCTTAAAAATAACAGCTCCAACAATTATATTGACCGAATATATATACCAAAATATAAAATTGTACTAGACTATCAAAAGTAGTAGTTCAGCACATACCCAGCCATGCAAACATTTGGGAAAACCAAATAGCTGATTGAGAAGCAAAGAATGCTTGCCTACACGGCTCCTTTTTATATGTTAGATGGACATAAAATGATGCGATCAACTCTGTATTTAATAGAATTCAAAATGATTGGGAAAGACATTATAAGGTTTTCTCTATGGAGCGTAATAAAGGCTACTCAAACAATTGGCCTTTCATCACCAAAAAGCCCTGGTTTCATATTAAAAATAAAAAATAAAATAAAAATAAAATGTTTTTAATTTTTTTCTCTTGCTTTAATATAGTATTAATATTCAATTATTTCATATATTTATTTTCTCTTGCAAGTATTAATATTCAGAATTTTCCAATAGTTTTCATAGGGTTTTCTTAACCTGAGCGTATTTGGTATTTAGTACTGGAAACGGTCAAAGTCGCGTCCGCCTCTTCTATTTCCTCCAAAGCGACCTCCGGCAGAACCTCCGTCCCCGTCACCTCGTCGGTTCTTCATTGCCTGGAAGCGCTTGGCCATATTGTAAAGTTCTTCAGGAACCTCTTGCTCCGCCTCCTTCAGGATGTTGATGAGCTCCTTGGCCATACCCCAGTCTTCGCGGGTAATAAAGCTAATGGAGGTACCTTTGCGTCCGGCGCGTCCAGTTCGGCCCACACGATGCACATACTCCTCAATATTACGCGGAAAGTCATAGTTAATAACGTGCGAGATGTCCTCAATGTCCAAGCCTCGCGAAGCCACATCGGTGGCAACGAGAATGCGGACAACACCGGACTTAATGTCGGCAATGGCTTGCTCACGATCGCTTTGGTCCCGGTTTCCATGAATGCACTGAGTGTAAAAGCCATCCAATGTCAGATCACTGGACAAGTCGTCGGCGCGAGCCTTCCGCCCGCAGAAAACGATTATTTTATCCGTTTTACTCATACTCTTCACAAAGGACTTGATTGCTTTTAGTTTTTCGTCATCGTCCTCGAGCAGTTCAATTATTTGCTTCACCGAATGGGTGGCCGCCAAGTCCAATGAACCGACACACAGCTGGATAGGATTCTTCATGTAGCTCTGGGAAAGCCGACGCACACCAGGTGGCCATGTTGCCGAGGTCATGATTGTCTGCCGATCCGGCCGGATGTCCAGCAGTACCTGACGGATCTGCGGCTCGAAGCCCATATCCAGCATACGATCGGCTTCGTCCAGTACCAAGTACGTGATGCTGCTTAAATCGATCACTTTCGCCTGCACTAGGTCATTCAGCCGTCCCGGAGTGCAGATGATGATCTCAGCTCCGCGCTCCACGACCGAGATTTGCATGCGGCGATCGCCTCCGCCGTAAACACACACTGATCTCATGCCACGGAACGGGTATTTCTTGACCTCCATTTCGATCTGTAGAGCCAGCTCTCGAGTAGGGGCCAGGATAAGGACGTTGGGGCCACCCCTCTGTCCCCTTGGAATACTTTGATACTCAGTGTGTATCATCCCGGGTAGCAGGAATGCCAAGGTCTTGCCAGTTCCCGTTTGGGCTATCCCAATCATATCGTGACCTTTTAGGAGAATGGGCCACGCTTGAGCCTGAATGGGCGATGGTTTGGAGAATCCCTGTTTCATGATCTCGTTCAGCAGGTCCGGGTACTTTGCGAAGCATTGCTCAAACTTCCAAACTGGATTGGGTATAGGAGCCAAAGTTTCCCCATCTTTTGCCCCAAAAACATGCGACACCGTAGTCCCGTTGTTCTGCATCCGTATTTTTTCTGCCTTGGATGGGCTTAAATTAGCCACTTCGGGTGATTCCTCGTAAAAGTCCTTAGTTAGAGGAGGAAGCTTTGCCCAACGAGCTGCAGCAGCTTTTTCCGAAGCTTTGTTTAGAGCATCCCAGTCAATGAGGCCCGTAAGATCACCAGGTTGGGGTGTGTCCACCTTGGGCGGAGGTGCAAAATCATAATTATTTCCACCGAAAGGCTTTCTAGATCCGCCATCGCGACGACCGCCATCATCACGATCACGACCCCTTCCGGAATCGGATACTTGTTTTCGTACAAAATTCATTGCATCGCTTACATTGCTTTGGAGCCTTCCGCTGATTTTAACCGCTGGGTCATCCGTGTCCACCTTGACACGGACATTGAAATCATTCTGAATCCGTTTGATGTTTTCGCCGGCCCGTCCGATAACCTTTCCAATCATTTCAGGGGCAATAGAGAGCGTCTCACTGAAGTCATTTAACTCGAAGTTACTACGACGTGCTCCACTTCCGCCGTAATCACCACGGTGGCTCTTCCCATATGTTCTGCCTCCATCTTGATAGCTACGCGGCTCAGCATCACGCCGCACGCTTCTTTCATACTTTTTATTCATCTGGACAGAATCTCGGGGCTTTACGGGTCCTTCAACATAGTTCGGATCGTCCCAATCGAGGTCGCTCATTGCAGATTCAAAGCAACGTATTATTTTAATGAAATTCGTTTGACTAACAAGACGCACGTGGGAAATTCTGAGTTTGCAGTTCCTTTGACAACTTTGACAACGCTATTTGCGACCAGGGGTGCAAGAAAATTGAGTGACACATCGATACTATCGGTGTTTCCAAACAATCGGCACAATCGAGTTTTTCTTCGATGAATCACTATTAATGTTTTTTCTAATAAATCTGATATAGGTCAGTAAACTTATAAGCTTTTATTTGTAAGTATTTTAAAGTACAACGATATTTATCGCTTCTTTGCAAATGAACCAATCGACAACTACGTATCGAAAACTTTGTTCTTAATGCGTGCCAAAATTAATATACATATAATCATTTTTTTCTTTAAAACTAGCGCCTTTTTGATCCCTCGAAATGAGATTTCATGCTTTGGCTGCGGCGTTAGCCCGTTCAAACGGGGAGGCCAAATAATTCTTCCAACATTACCAACAGGAAGTAACTTATGTTGTAGCCGATAGAAATAATCGGGCATCGAACCTGATGGAGATGGAAGGCCCCAGTAATGCCACCTAGTTCTATGTAGGGATATTCCGTAACTCTACAATTTTTTGTCCTTATTTTTGTGACAATAAATTGGTCAATAAATTGGAATCTTTTGAGGAATAAGAATAAAACCCAAATAAACGTTTTGTTCACAAGCGCCCAAAAGCGAAACCGAAGCTCCGGAACGGATTCAAGTAAGAGGAAATTTGTTCGAATTAAATAAAGCTGAACAGAGAAAAAAAATTGAGTAACGAAAAAAATGCTTCTTTTGCTTTTTGTATAGACAGTTTAATATTTTTTAAAGTTATCAATTTTTTAAATTAAAACGTTTTTTATATAGTTTTTTTCATAACTTTAAGTAATTAAAGAAAACATTCAAACAAAAACTGCTCAAATTTCTGTAACAAATTTCCCAAATTTTTTTTTTAGTAATTTGAAAGACAAAATAAAGCAAACATATAATACAAAGCCACAAACAGATGAATCACTTTATATTTCTTGAATAACTTTTGAATGAATGGAATGGTTGAGGGACCGGAATGGTTGAGGTGTCAATCGACGCATATTTAAAATAGCAGAGATTACGGAATCAATGAGGGGAGAGGTGCCAAATAAAGCACACGGAGGAAGTGGGTCAAAAATCATCCAACACGTTATAGCGTAACATATAGACAACCCCTAATGTAAACATTTTTTTTAAATACATGTATATTTTCATATGTACATGTATACGCTTATTTGTACTACTTTTTTCAAACTATTCATAGACGGTACTCGTAAATAAGCCTTATAGGATCGGTTGAGTTTACCGGTGAGTTTACCGGAGTTTACCATTTTTTGTATCCCTGTATCTCCATATCCATATAAACTACTTTCAATTCATATAAAATTTTTTATTTTTGCTAATTATTTAAAGAATTTAAAGTGTAGCCGGCCTTGTAGGGTTAAGGAAATGTAATCTGGTCACGGCCACAGCCAAGCTCAAAACTCAAGCTCGAGCCGAAAGCAGAGCTCTCGTTTTTTGCCGATTAGCATTCCGCTCTGGGAACTTTGAACTCCCCACGATAAGGCTGAGCTGAACGCGAGCTGAAACTCGAACTGAAACCCAATTATGAGAACGCACATTCATTCAGTTGGCATTCGTTGTTTGGTCAATTGCGCGTCATGAAGCTGTTGCCAGTCCTGTTGATTGTTAGCCTGGCCGTGTTCTGGACCACGGTCCAGGGAAATGCCGTGCCGGACTCCAAGCCGGAGGGTTCCGAGGCCGTAAACGAAGTGGACACCGAGGACACTTCCGAGGAAGGTGAGGCCAAGCCACTGGGCGTGGCGGCGATCAAAGTACGGCACGTCAGCGAGGATCAGGAACTGTGCTCCAAGCTGTCCCGCTACCACCCACACCACCCACTGTGCCACAACTACTGCAAGCGGCAAGGTCACTGGGTGGGTCAGTGCAAGAAGGAGCGCTGTCATTGCTTCAATATCTGAAATAAATATTCTGTGAAAAGAAAATATAAAGCCTAAAGTTTCCCAAAAGTTCTACTCTTGAATTATTACTGCTTCTTAGGTTCTAGTGTTGGAGGCTTATATATTTTGCAAATTGTTCGTGAAAGTTCATTTACGTTTCATTTCCGGCCTGGTCTCACTAATTAATCAGATTTTCAAACTTAACAAAAACAGGAAATGGTTAGATTATTAATTTCTAATCACCCGCCTCTTATGAAAACAGTACTTCCGCCCTCAGTCCCCCAGTTACAGTTGTGCGAAAACAATCTTTGCAAATTTTATTAAATTTTTCTGCATATTTGGCACTTTGGGTTTCCCAAGAAATTCGGGAAGAAAAATAAATAAAAAAAATGTTAAAAGAACAGGATGAAGGGAGAAGAATAATAGCGACACTCACAATATACATAGGTTCTGATGTTAAAAATATTAATATTTCTAGATCTTTAAACAAAATATATTTTATCTGGAGAATTACCTAACGCTTCTTTCGAGTAAAAATGAAACTTTTTATATTTTTTTTTTGGACAAGCCTCTTTTGGACAATAAGTGTCCTCATCCAGCTAAGTTCAAAATAGTCCTCCTATTTCAAAAACTTATATTAAAAAGTCAAAAGTTTTTCTAAAATTTGTTTAAGTTTATCGCCTGTCCCCATCTGTCTTGAGGGGCAGTGTGCTATCGCTTTCATATGCTAATTTCATAGTAAACAGTGCCTACATAAAAAAAACCGCCACAAAAATAAACAAAACAGTGAAAAAATGGAAGAAAAAAATGCTGCGGACTACATGACGACAGTCACATTTTTGCATGGATACCCCTTTCCGTGGAATTTATTTTTGTGTTTTTTAAAAGAATGGAAACAAAAAGCCGCCGCCACAAAATGGATGTGCATGCGAATGTGCATGTGTATGTGTTGCGAGTGACAGCTACTAATAGCATATACACTCCCAAACACACTCTGCCACAACATGCATTTGCACACCGGCACTTTTGTTGTTGCTGTTGGGGCGCTCATGTTGCTGCCGCTGTTGGGATGTTGCTAATGCCGTTGTTGCTACTTTGCTTTGTGTATCTGATGACATTGTGTTGCACATACACTGCAAAAAATGAGGCAGATCTTTTTTAAAACTAAAAATGTACCTTTAAACTTAAGATAAATTTAAGTTTAAAGTTTCATGTCTAAATGCGTTTTATTTTAATTGTTATAGTAAATGGAATATACATTAATTTTTTAAATTTTATCGATTCGAATCTTTTATTTAAAATTTAAAATATAATTTTATTTATAATTATTATTATAAAATGTATAATATACATACATTTTTAATTTTTAAGAAACAAACATCCAGAAACAAACTCAAAAATCGGACAGTGAATTTATTTAGTTTATAAGCAATATGATAGCCGGTAACTCTTTTGACCTTTCAGTATAATATTTAACAGTAACGTAAGGAATTTCCTCTATCCTTCTGGCTTATGCCTATAAGGCATTCCCTCTCTCCTTCTGGCTTATGCCTATATGGTATAAATATACTTTTTCCAGTGTACTTTCCCATGTTACTATTTGCTGCCGGTGGGCAAGCCAAGAACAGAATATGAATATTCATGAACTGAATGCAGGCAGGCACTCGCCGTATTTTGAAGCGGCCTTTGTACAACTTTTGGAGACATCCTGCAGTACTGCCACATCCCACGCTCCTGCCCCGCCCTCTTCTTTGGTTATCCTAGCCTTTTTGTAAAACATTCAGCTATCCTAATTACCAAAATTGGGCCCACATTATATCATAATCTCGGGGCTTAATGTAAATCAACAATTAACGCAGCCGCCAGGTTTTTCCAGGAATCCGAAAATTCGAATTTAAATTTAAATTAACGAGACGTCCAGGAGTCTGGCTGGGAGGGGGAGTCGGGATTCGGGAGCCGGGAGCTACTTACTACTTTAATGAATGTCAGAGGAGACACAAGCGTGCCAATTATCTAAACTAGTTGACATTTGCCAGAAGATGGGTTCTGGGGGTCAAAGGTCGCTGATATTCGCATTATTAGCCAAGTTTGATTGATGGCATTGTATCTGAGAGTGCTGTTCCAATTCAATTTTAATGAACAATTTGGCAACCCTTTCCCCATCTTTTCTCAGATCCATTTCCCATTTTTTTAAGTTTAGATGTGACAAGGAAAATGGGTAAATACATACGAAATACGAAATAGATTTTGTTGGCTTGTTTTTGGCATTCGCACACACACTGGCTCGAAATGTGTGTTTGAAAATGATTTTGGCTCAATACAATGTGACGTCCCTCACTTTTGATAAGGGTTACCGGATCCTGTCAAATGATAAGCAGCCGACAAGCCCTCAGCCTCGAAAAGGTCCTGCCGCCAGATATACCAATATTGTTATCATTACAACACTCCTGCCCATCCAGGACAACACCAGCCACCAGCCCCCAGGACCAGCCAGCGGGCTAGCAAGGCCTGTCCAATTAAAAATTCAAAAGCCTTTTTTCAGCCACTCGCCAAATTGGTGAATTACGTGCCAAGCCAGAAGCCAGAAGGTTCTAAGCAAAATCGAAAAGTATGATTTATTTATAGATCTATTTATGTTTGGATACTCCCCGAAGGTAGGCAAATGCCAGCATACCTAAAATACTCTCCACATGCAGCCAAAAGTATGTAAATATGTACATATGTATGTATTGCAAAGGTTATCCAATAGATGATGATGGGTAATTGCCTATTGAGCCTAAAAGATGGAGATTGGGTAACCTTGATCGTTATCTCTTTCGGCTTTATGGCGGTTAAAGTTTTGTTTTTGAACAAAAAAATCAAAAAAAAATTGGACACATTTCTTAGGTATATTTTTATACCAACTCTTGAAGTAATTTTAATAAAAAATATATATAATTTATAGAATAAATTATAGGCTTCTAGAATCTAACATAATCTTTTGTGGTTTGTTTTTTTGTGATTGGGGTTTTTTTTAATAAACATAAGTTTATCAACGTTTATCATCGATGTTTTCATCGATGCTTTTGCAACTCCACTGGAAAGCTCCAAATTTTGGAGTCCAAAATGTCGATATATTTCACGGTCACATCTTTAGCATCAAAGACCACAACTGCGACTATAAATTCGCAGCTTTTTTACTTAATTTCTTGTACACGTTTATATAAAATAATTCAAAATGGAGCCGTTTCAGTCGAAGGAGGCAATACTGAAATCGTACTATACACGATTAGATGACGACGTCCAGGGCATGCTAGAGAACTTTCAAGGTAATCTGAAAGAATCAACTAGTTCTTTATACTAATCTCCCTATTAAACCTTCCCTTCCCAGAAATATTGAAGTTGGCGCGTAGAAAGACCCACACACAGATCCCAAAAACAACGCCATGCGAACAGGATGCCTTGGGAATGCAAGTGCGGGCGGCCAACATAGGTAAGTTAAGCCAGGAAGTGCCCCTAAAATCCTATGCTACGACAACAGATTTAACATTCCAGTTTGGGCCGGAGAATCCCTGATGAAGCTGATCTTAAGCAATACCTCATCATGAACGACTTCCGTTCGATACACGAGGTAATCACCAACAACTCGCAGTTGTTCCGGCCACCCATTTAGAATGGGATGAGAAGCTGATGAAGCTCAGGTATGAAATGACCAAGGATCTGTACGACCTGGAAGAGGAGTACTTTACCAGCATATTCAAGTAGTTTTTTTTATGAAAATGAGCAGCAATAGCAAGCTTAAATGATTCAATTTTCACTTATTTTCAAAATATTGCCAATGTTGGAGTTTAAAATAAACATTCATCATATATTCAAACTATTAATATTAATCATACTATTAATAAACTATTAATATATCAAACTATATATTTATAATTATTTAAACTACATTCATATATACATATGTATATGACATGAAAAACCGAAAGAAGGACTCGCGCGGCAACACCTTGGTGATACCAGACCCCAAAGCATCTAAAAGTATACAACCAAAATTTTATTAAAGCTCTGAACTAGGGTTGTTGATAATATATCAAAATATCAATATATCGATATTTTTTTCTAATAATGATATATTCATATCGTAATATTTTTTTGCCTAAATATCGATGTTTGTTTTTGATATTTTTGGATATTTTTTCCTTGGTCACTGAATTTCAAAGCCACGCGGATTGAACTTCTGTACCAAGTTGAGCAGTGGGATATGGGATTTTATGGATGGGATCGTTAAGTTTATACAATATATATGAAAATATAATTTAATAATTATTTAGGAAACTTGTCTTTTTAGTTAGAGATTCAATAAATAAGGGAATCCGCTAATTTTGCAGGAAAACAATTTATTCAAAAAATATCAAATATATCGATATTTCCCGGTGATATTTTAAATATTTTAAATATTAAATATTTTTTATAAAAAAAATATCATCGATACGATATCTTTCAAAATATTAGACAACCCTATTACAGACCTTTTATTCACAAATAGCAACAAAAATTACGATTTTTAGGTGCAATAGTAAACATTAAAAATTGTAAGTAACATCTGGTAACGTGCAGCGTATAAGTTAAAAAATTAATTTTTTTCCAACTTGCCTATCGCGAGATGAATCTGCTGAGTAAATCGAATTGGAAAAAAAGACTTAAACTTTTCAAATTGGGGAATTCCCTAGAAAAGCCAATGCAATCGCGAGCGCAAATATTTTTGGAGAGAATTCAGTCGCCTTTAGAACGTTCTCAGAGACGGATGTCTCCATTTTATAGTAATCCGCAATTCTAATCAAATATCAACCATTTTTTTCACCTACTATAAAAAAAGTTAAATGAAACCATTTTTGTAGAAAATCATAATAAAAACGTCGCTTGAAGTGTTCTTTAAAACAAAAGTGAATTATTACAGTATATACAGTATTATATTACAAGATCTGCATACATATGTAAGCTCAGTGAAATATGACATAGTTTTTTTGACGATAATACCCTCTGCAAGGGTATAAACATGCCCTTCTTTCATGTAATTGCGTTTATCTATGCTGGGAGCAATACCTGTACAAAATACATATATGACTTTGCTTAACCAATCCAACAAAAAAGGAGGACCAACGGACAATCGTTTCTCATTCCTCACATTTAAACACCCTAAAAAATAGTTTGATCCCTTCCCAAAAAGTTTTCTATTAAGTTTTTATTGTGCTTAAACTATTTAAATTATGTTACATTGTGACTTCTATGGACATATAACAGAGCAAAGACAAATGTTTTTCAAGTTCGCAAGTGTTATATCAGAACGTTTTGTTAGTCCAGAGTAACGGAAGTCAAAAAAAGCTATATTATTAAAAAAAAAAATTTTCTGCAATAGGGGATGAAGCGTAGGAATGAGATCAGACTGGACACTATCCAGGCTGGGATCAGAGGGCAGCAACTATGACGTGTTCCGGTGATGAAACGCTTGCGATCTTGACGTATATTAACACGTCTTATACACCTGTAACGATTATAATTAAATGTGACTAATTCACTCGTTATCTGTGTAAGTTTAAAATAGAACGATCCTAAGAAAACTTTTTCTTACTCTTAAGAGTAATAGTAAGCTTAAAAGAGAATGAACTTTCGATTAGACGATTAGTAAAATCCGGATATTTCATAAAATATCATAGATAATTAGAATGTCAGGCTACTAGTGTTGAAGTTTTTAATAAATGCATGAGAAGCATGGAAGCTTAATACGCATATACATACATACATACATATCATTGAATTTTTATCAGCTTGGAAAAATGTAAACAAACGTATTGAAGAGTAAAAATCTGGAGAATCAGCGTAAATCGAGAGTGGGGCTATAATTACGTAATTTGCTACACTTAACAAAAAAATTTCATTTCCGAACATTTAAGCGCTTAAAGAAGCATCCTTAAAACGAAGTACATAAATCCCAATGTACTTGCATTTAAGAGGAATCTTAGATATTTTTTAAATAGTATTAAGAAGTAAAATATATATATGTTTAATGTATAGGTACTCCTACAAAGAACTTTTATTTTATGTCAAGTATTTTATATTTTATTTTGTGTGTTGCTTTAAAATATTGAGAACTGAAATTTAAACACACTTTCGACTTCCTCGAAATATTTACAATACGTATATATGTATATAAATGTTGAGCTAACAATTTATGTCGAAATTTGATTTTTATGTTCGACTTGAGTTTGTGTGCTCGCACATTTTACTTTGGTAAAATGCTTTCTCCAGAAGTTAGTAAAATTGATGGGCAACGGACAGGCAGTTAAAGGAACATAAAAAATATCATTTCTTGGGTAATTTTTGGCATTTCCTTCTTACACACGCACACAGAAAACATACCACACGAACAACTCATTTGAGTCTCATTTGTTTTAAAATGCAGAAACCATAACAATAATCATGATAATATGCACAATAATAATAATAATAATAATAATAAGAACACTCGGGATGTAATATACCAGGGAACAGCTGCCAAAGAGTAACCCACTCTCCTTCATCTGGCACTTCCGGACACTTTTCCTTTTTGGAAAAGTCAATAAAAATAATAATTCACCATTCCATTGCCAAAAGCTTGAGTAATTTGCTTTATTTTCGTATCTACATACATTAGGGAGCAGCAGTTTTTAACGGCAACAAATTCAATTGATTGAGTTGATTAGTTTATGAACCTACAAAGAGGCCAATAATAGGCACCACTAATAGTGAAATTGGGAATATAGTATTGCAAAAGGAATATGCAATATGGAAGTGTCCTTCTTCCATGGACTTCCATGTCCTTCTGTATATCGAATCTGCTCGGCTATGATTCAAAAGTAGTTTAGGTACTTTCAGAAAAGTTATTGGTACCTACAGCTTCCTGCCTTCCTTCCAATATCTAAGGTATTTATATAATGTTTGTTATATAACATTAAACATTAACATTAGTCATTCACATTAAAACACTGTGGACTGCAGTCCACGGGTGACGGAACCGCATCCCCTAGCGTTCGCTCTACATATCATACATAATTATGTTATACAGAATTAAGAATTAACAAAAAAAAATTATTCAAAATAAGTACATATGTGCCGAAGAATTAAAAATTTTCTTTTTGCGTTTAATTGGTATTTTTTTTTGACTGATATACAAACGAAAGGTATTGGTTTAATTAGATCATTTTGCAAAGCAATTTCCAAATATATATCAATATGGAAGAGATTCGCGTAAAAGTAAAAGTATTTTGATTCACTAAAATTACAACACTCTAATTTTGAATACGCGTCGACCCTTGAGTCAGCCGGATCTTTACAAAGCAATCTGTGTATGTTTTTTTGATCATTTTCATGATAAAAAAAAAAGAAATGATAATTTTCATAATTATAAATTCTTAAACATCTTTTGTTCTACAATGTTTCTTTTTACAACTAACGTTAAAAATTAAGAGAAAAAAATTCCAAACCGGATAACTTCGGAACCAGTAAAGCTACGAAAATATATATTTTATTATTTTGCCTACAATTAATAACTTTAATAACAAAATGAATTTTATTTTAATTGGCTCTTACGATTTGAATAATATTCACGTCTTTTTTGACGGAACGTATCTGCGATAATCCCCTAACTGCGCAGCTGTTTAAGCTTGACGATACATCAACGTCCACCCAGTGGACCACAACTTCATAAAAGATATACAAAACGAGAGTAAGAATAGAGGTAAAAGACGGGTAACGAGTGTTATCTTAATCACGATTCATATCACAAAAACTCAAAAATTAATATTATTAGCAACACACTGCAACAAAATATTAAAAAGGATTTTAATACCATCTTACAAAAGTGTACAATGCAGGGAAGGAGTCATCACCGACCCAAAGTATATAGATATATTCTTGATCAGGATCACCATAAGCATTTCCGTCTGTCTGTTTCTACTCTAACTAGTCTCAGTTTTAAGGCACACGACATGAAACTTTGAACACGCAGTATATATGTAAGTCGGAACGGCGGGGATTTGCCGACTATATCCTATAGCTCCCTTATAACTGAGCTATCGGATAGAAAGCTGAGCTATTAAGATAGAACGGTGGAACTAAAAAAAAAACAACTATTGAATCTCTCTAAACATCTCTTACGGCACGTGAAAGGATTTTTGATCTTCGACTTTCCTTCAGACCAAACGTAGAAATAGTTAGAAAAATAAATGCACAAAAATAAAATATTTTTAGCTTTACGATTTTACTAAATTATTCATATACCATTCATCTGGGATAATTCGCTTTCTCAAGATATAGTCCGATAAGTGGGGCTACTAGTTCAGTGGTGCCACCTGTGAAGCTTAGCTTAGTACATAAGCATATATGTACATACATTAGGTACATACATATATGGTTGAAAATTTACTTTTTGTATTGAGTTAAAAATCTATGGCGATCTACTTCGCCCATACTTTCCAAAATTTAATTTTCAGAGAATTTAAATGTAAGTCTTTACTATACTGAAAAATCGGCCAAAATTCCATTCATCTGTATTTTTAATGCTTTTAATGCACAAATTTATTGTATATTTATTAAAAATACTGTATTTATTTGGTTTATCAATACATGCAGTTAACGTAAAGAATTCCGCGAAAAACTTCCGAGGCAGTTCAGTGACAAACAGAGACTTTGTTAGTTCAAAACGCTTTTTGGGCAAAACAGATTAATTTTCGTTTTTTGTTTTTTAGATGGCCGAGAAATCAAAAGTGCAAAAGGCATTTTGTAATTTTGCTCACGTTTCGTGTAATTAAAACTTAAGACAGCGGCTCTGGGGCCACAACTACTGGGACTCGGATTGGAAATGGAACGGCGGCAGACAAATCAAAAAGTTACTCAAGATTTTCCCCTCAGCATCCAATTTTCTCCCTCTCTTTTTTTGTTTTTGTTTTATTCTTCAATTTTTAATTTCATTTCGCCGTGAAAAGTTCTTAACCCAAGATATGGCCGCACATAAATCAGTCAGAAACTCCGCCATCCGCTTGCTGGCGGTGCAAATGCGCAAATTGGCGGACAGACGGACAAACGGAAAGAGGGACACAAGGTCAGGATGTGGCAAAAGTTGGCCATCTAGAATGGGTTAAGTCAATTCAAAAGTTGCAATTCAATTTCTCAAATAGTTAAAATTTCGGGATCCGGATCGGGATATACATATGTATATTTTTATACTTAGACTGGGAAAACGAGTGATACACCGAGAGAAATAGATTTGGAAGCTAAGGCTCCGACTCAACATAGCAATAAAGCCAAGCTAATAACCAAGCAATAAAGCTGGCCAATACCTTTTATGTAAAAAGGCAAAGGTAGTAGAAAAATTAAAAATAATTTGTATTATGTTTTTATACCCTTGCAGAGGATATTATAATTTTGACCAGAAGTGTGCAACGCAATGAAGGAGACATCTCTGACCCTACATAAATATTTGCGTTACATATATTCATGATCAGAATCACCTCCCCCTGCTAGAAGCATTTCCGTCTCTTACTTTTAAGGATTTAGTCTCATGTGTGAGGATGAAAAAATCGATTTTATTTTTTTGTCACATATTTCGAAAGTACTGTTTATTAAGAATGTACTGTTAATGTTTCAAATAAAAATATCAAATAATGACAGCGATACAGCCCATAATCGAGAGCGCACCTACACCGAAAAGTATGAGTTTCTCGATAGCGTCTAAACTTTAAACGCGTTTTTCTCCGAACGACATTTTTGTGTGCGGCGCAGGTGATTCACACAATTCTATGGTACCGATCTAGCTGAAATTTGGATATGTTTTTCTAAAAAGTAACACCTCTGTCCCGTACTAGAATCATTTATTTTTAATGATTAGTTTTTTTTATCATTAATTTAAGATAAATTTTTTTAATTTTTTTTAATTTTTTGTTTTGTGAGTTCGCCATTTTGTTGTTTGTTGATGAAAATATTTCATTCTAGTACGGGACAGAGCCATAAGCTTTTTTTTTTTTTTTTTTTTTTTTAACAAGTTAAATTTTATTTTAGTCGCCGGAATCGTTCAGAACCATTTGAACATAACCGGGCGCTTAGAAGGTAGGGTGAATATGGTACATATGGGATATGGGCCTAGACTTTATACAATAATTTACAGTTATTTACATTAGTTTACAATATTATTGAACAACACGGGAAGACAGATCGCTGGGGTGAAATCTCTTTAAGCGCCTAAGAGTTTGCGAGCCATAAGCTTACAAAACAATAATCTATTCTAATTTTTTGTTTCGGATGACTCTATCAGTCGAAATCACCTGCGCCAGGGACCTACCTTTTTTTTTATATGCATACTTTGGCATGCTATAAAGTGTATTAAACTACACAAGAATAAATTAAACAAAATATTTTCAAATAGTTTATAGGGCCTATAAAAACATATTTGAAAATTGAAACAATCGCATTATTTTTTATTCCAAAAAAATTTTTTTTAAATAACCTCTAAAAAGTAGGCCGGAACATGAGACTACATCCTTAAAGCTGTTGACTTTAAACTGTGCACACACTCTTATTTTTATTTTTGGAAGCCAGAAACAAGAAATAATGGAGCTCAGCGACATTCGTTTGCGAAACCTCTTCCATTACGACCCGGAGAGCAAAAAGTTGTCACCGATTTCCGCCATTAAATACTTTCGAATGCCAGAGGACAGGGAGTATCCCTTGCATCTGGACAAAAACTACGAAACCTATGTCCATCGAAACCAAGAATATCCCGGTCTCCTCGACATGATGCAGTACTACTCTGGGCACGTCGATAAATCGGCGTTTACTAGACACAACTTTGACGTCTTTTGCTGCCGCGGTGTACTAAGAAACCTAACTGAGGCCGAGCCTTTAAGCTCGTTTAGCATCGATTTATCGTTGGAGGCCTTCAGGCATAATGGGTGTATCTTTCTAAAGTTGCATAGGAAAGAAGAGGAAGCTAACGCTCGTAATTCCTACAAATTTAAGGCACGCCAGTACCTATTTAGTGGTAAGACCCCGTCGCAGTTTTTTTTTGGATATACACAAATGGTACGATATTTATCTAGATGCGCCAGGAAAACTTCCCGATACGGATGCCTCATTAGATGAGAGGGACCAGATGTATGGAATGTTCTCCGCTCAATTGGGGCAATTCCGATTACTCTACTCGTCCGAGGTTGTGGGGGTTACAAACACCGAAAAGCTCGGGGATCTGTAAGTTGAAATCAAATATCTTTGAACGAAATACAGTTTAGACCATTTATAGTAAACTAATTCTTATTACCGACAGCACTGAACCCGAGGAGCTAGAGAAGTGCTCTTTGACCACCGTAAGGGTCGTTAAAAGTTATGTGAAATGGCGAACCTCTTTTCGCTGTGCTTCTTGGGTCCTTCAGGCCTACCTTTGTGGAGCCAGTCAGTTGGCTGTAGCCAAATTCGATGAAAATGGATGTGTGTCCGAAAGGATTGAGGTCGAGGCCGTTGGGGACTTTCTCAAGGTAACCATTTAACTATAACCTTAAACTTTGTAGTCTATTATTTTCACCTCGCTTCCAGTCTAATCTGAGCCATTACCAGACCGGCTTCAAACAACTGAATGGCTTTTTAGAGCAGATCAGACAGAAATTGGACGAGATCGACAATCCGAATGTGGGACTAAAGTTTACTCTCGTCGGAAATGTATTAATTTTCGATGAGGCTTTTAAAAGTGATTTCCTTGAAAAAGCCAACATTAACTTTTAAAGTATTATTTTATCGAGTTAAGAAATAAACGCCAATATATTTTTTCGTATTTTTTTGGAAAAATAATATTTTCTTTAGGAATAAATTACAAGTATATTTTTTGTTACATTTTCTAAAAGAAATGTGGGTCAGGCGTATAATGTTGTTTACTTATTTGGAAAAAGTAGTGACTAATGGGTAACATTTATAACACTGTCTTAATATTGTACATACTAGGTATGTAGGTTGATTATCTACGGGCTTTAGTACCAAGTATCATATAGTACTATATAGAACACTGTCTTGTATTCGATGCAAGTCTGAGGTAGCATTAAATGCCAACTGTCTTAATGTCAAGGTTTTTGAGTTATAAGGCGGTATTTAGTCACCTTAAGAGCCCTTTAACCCGCTTAAAGGCACTGGACCATGGCGATGAAGGAGTCACCTCCGCATCCGCATCCTGAACTTCCTCATGTGTGTGTGGTCTGTGATTAAAATGATATTTTCAGACAATGTCAAACAGCGTGTGACTAATGGGTCTATGGGTTGTCCGAAATGTCTGTTATTACTTGATAAATCTTGTCGGTCACACATTTTGGCATCGCACAATGGCCAACACACACTTAGACACACACGCATGTAGGCCAGGCTGTGTCCGTTTGTTTTATGCAAATTCTTGGTCCATTTCGGTCCGGCCCCTTCTGCATTCAGCTCTAATGACAAATGGTTCAAAAATTTGCGGCTAATGACACAAATATGCTGGTTTCGGCCTATAAATTTTATGCATAAATAAACCAAAGGGCAAAGCACAAAAAATATATTTGCTTGTGTATGAATTGTATGGGAACTTTCTATGATTGAAGACTTGCGGCTAAGGACCTTATGTCCTGTGTGTCCCCGTCCATTAATCAAGGGACAAATAAACATGCAATTTTCCCAAATTGACATTCAGCCATCGACCATCGAACTCCGAGGGCTTTTCATATTAAATGTCTCGGCTAAGGGTTGAATTTTCGTAAATGTGAAATATAAATGTAATGCATCAAAATTTTAAACTAAAAATTCTCATTATTTAATTTAAAAGATTTGAAATAATAAATATATATTTAAGTTTAAGTTTATGAAAATAGTTTTATGCTTACCATAAAGGTTGAAATAAAAGAAGCTAATACTGAGTAAATCAAAATTACAAAATTAACTTAAAATACCTTCATAATTATTTTCAAAAATAAATTTTTTTTTTTCAATTAAATAAGTTTGGTTATTCCTGTGAAGCACTTCCTATGAATGCTTTCTGTGAAGCATTCCTCTTGCACTATTTCCCTTTTAAATAAAATTAAGACACCAAAATCTCAAAACTCAAGTTCTTTTTTTATAAAATTGTATTATTAAATAAATATGAAAATGTCTACATATTACTAAATATGTTTCAAATTTAATATATACTTAGAACTAAATTTATCGTGATTTAAAAAAGTGGTCCCTAAACAAATAAACAGCGACCGTGACAGCAGGTGGATGCTTGGAAACCGGAAGCGGAAGTGAAAATACCAGGCAGAACCAGGATAGGCGGGGCATTGGCGGATGGTGGGTGGGTGAATGTAAAGGACACTGTCACACAGTCATAGAGCTGGAATTGCCTTTATTTGTCTTCATTACACTGTCCCACCAACTCATCGGCCATTCATCTGGCTTTGAATAGTTTCTGGCAAGGCGAAGTCAATGAAGAACTGAAACCAGGAAATTCAAATACGCTTACAACTCGCGCAACAATCCAAATTTTGGGGCCAACGCATGCAAATATATGCACTACAAAAAATTCTTTATGTACAATAATGAAATCTTAATTAAATATTTATTAAATATTAAATCTTTAAAATCGAGAGAGCCAGATTTTTAATAATTATTGTTATATATGACATGAGCTGAATATTTGAAAGTTTTGTAATATTTCTTTTAGGATTCATGTATGTGTAAGTTTCAACATTTGAAAGGTACACATAATTTATTTTTAAAACAAAAATTTAAAACAAAAAAATATAAAAATAAATATTTAATAATTTTTTTAAGTGATCATACTACAATGTTTCCTTGTTTTGCAGCCCTTCTGCCTTTCTTTCTGTTTTTTATGCCATTTGTGCTTTTCTGCTTTGGGGTTTTGTTTTTCTGTCTTTCCTATTGTGTTTTTCTGGTTTTTTGCTTTTTGCTTTTTCCGATGGCGCTGGGCTCTTCCGCTCCTTTGACTGTTTAGATTAGGCGACATGGCAGGAGGTTTGTTGGCCAAGTTTTTTGCGGCTTCGTCCTTGATAATCCCACGTCCCGGCAGGGAGACATCAAAAGCATTAGCATGTGATATGTGAAAGCAACTGCTCGGACCAGGACTCCGACCAGGACCAGGACCAGGACCAGGACCACGGGCTACGGCCAGAACTCGGATTTGGACTTGCTATTTGGTATTTGGATTCGGATCTAGATCTGAAATGTAAATGGGTTTTGGCCAACAGCGGGGACAGCATTATGAAACTTGGCCAGAAACTTTTCTTTTTTAATTTTGTTGGCCAAAAAAGTTATATTTATTTATTTATTTTTTTGGGTTAAATGGTGTTCCTGTTTAGGGCACCACCTACATATAAGCTGTTTTTTAGTTATGAATGGAAACAGGAAATTTTGAAATAATGAAATATTGGAAGGTTCAACTAATTGGAACTTCGTTACAATATCATATCACATAGTTTCTGGCACTACGAACCCGGTAGTAAATGGTTAAAATACATACATCTATAAAACATGTTTTCTTATTCTCTAGATGTATCGGGTATAAAATATTGGAAAACTACACAAAATATTCCGCGGGTTAAATACCCCTAGGGAACAATCGCCATTTTCGTAGGACAGTGATCATATAATAAGCCCCGACTTGAAGCTTTTCTATGTGAGGTACCCCTTAATCAAAAAATATACGGAACCCCCTGATAGCTCTATTTGTCCAACTGTTGCTTTTGCTTTGACAGCTCCAGTCGTAAAAGGAGGAACCATTTGGAAATTTATGCCCATCTTCCATTTTGTCGCCGGCTTACGGCGAGGAGGATCAGGTGAAGTGGACGGTGGACTTAGTGGGCGTAATGAAACCAGTACCGTTACTTGGTCCTAAGTCAACACCACCCACTCCCACTGCCACTTCCGCTTCCGCTCCGAGATGCGAGCTGGGAGTTGGGAGGTGGGCAGTGCGCACCTTTGGCGGTAATAAGCTGCAATTTTATTATTACATTTGCGCGCAAAACTTTAACAGGCGCGTAATCAGCCGGCCCCACCTGTCCGCCTGCCTGTGCGTGGTAATTTCAGATAAATGAGAATACATAAACAAAGAACTCATTAAATTCAGGCCTGGCCGCAAAGTAACCGGACTCCCCGCAGCCACCACAGCCGCCACCTCCCATCCACCACCAGGCCAGGCCGTGTTTTTGCGGCCCTGGCAGCCCGAATCTGTATGTGTATCCGAATCTGGCCATAAGCCTTTTCATGCATTCATAATTTCCATGCAAAGTGCACTTGGAAATGCGTCTTCTGCAAATAGAAGTGACACTTTTCAACCTTCTCCTCCATCAGTTCTCTTGGGTTCTCGGTTGGAAAGCAATATCCTTGGTGTTCTTGCAAACCCTTTGGTTTGAGGCAAAAGGACTTGAAATGTTTGGAAAATTATATTTTTACTTGGAAAAGGAGTTTAGGCTTTAACTGTTGGGTATTAAAAGTAGAGGATAGAGGTTTTTGGAAATAATTAATCTTTAAAGCAGATTCAGGGATAAAGGAAATCGAAATGTTTAAGAATCTAATTTTGAAGAAGTATTAGTTATTATTTTAACACTATGAATCTTTCTATTAGACCTTCTATTTTATTTTTGGAAAACTAGACTCTTTAACCTTGAAATAAAATTTAGAAAATTTCCAGGACATTTTAAAAAAATTCAAATTCTAAACAATTACATGACAATAACATTACTTTTAATCTAAAAATATATAGATTAAGATTAAATATTTTTTTGAGTGCCTTTTTTGGCAGCCAAGGGGTCAAGTCTGTTCCATTATTCCCATTTTCCATATTCATTACGACCCGACCTGGCCATCCAGTCCGCCGTGGGCTCTGTTCATTGTTCATTGTTTGATTTTATAATAATTTCGTTTTTGGCATTGAAGCGATTTACACTTAAAACTTTAAGTCTCGTTTGGGCCACCGGTTCGGGGTCGGAACGGGAGAGAGTCTTGCGCTTCATTAGCATTCTGGTGGCGAGAACTTGGCCTTTTGTTTCGGCCGCGACTTTGCATTGCCAATTAACCGAAAGCCTGGCCAAAAGCAAACAGTGGCCCCAAGGTGGAATCGAGTGGGGGGGAGTGGCCAGGGAAGGAGGGGAAGTAAGAGGGTGATGGTCCTTTATGGCTTCTCAAGAGCATCCTTGGAAAATTGATTTAACGGTTAAAGTAAGCTCAAGAAGAGTGAGGACTATTTTAAAACATTACCTTTAAATGCCATGATAAAGTTTAAGCTCTTATCTTGAAATAAAATTAATTGAAAACAAGAAGGGAATGGTGTCTTCGAAGCTTTTGTACCCCTGGCGTTTTGGAAGCTATATCGGATATATCGGAGAACAAACCAAATATCAAAATTAGTTGGCCGATTCCAAAGGGAATTTGAGTATCATTACAGAGGTGACGAAATACATGCCTGAGTGTATAAATCAGGGGTGCTCAAATTCGTCTTATGGCAGTGCGTTTACTAACACAGACACAAGAAAACGTGTACATACATATGTAGCGGCGCTTTAGTGTTGGGGCGCAGCTGTGCACTGAGAGAAAAAAAACAGTTTTAAATATTTATTTATTTTTTTTTTTATATTTGGCTTAAAAAAGATTTAATATTTATATTAATTTTAGTGGTTGATAATTTTAATTGAGCTTCCAGATTATTATTATTTAGTCCCACGAAATAAATCAAAAGCCAAAGCAGACAGAAGAATAAGTTCCAGTGCATGTGCTCGAGGAAAAAACAAAAACAAAATACACTGCGTTCAGCGAAGT